CAAGTCATTCCCATGACCTGTCCTTCTTTGAAATCATCAAGTCATTCCCATGACCTGTCCTTCTTCTAAATTATCAAGTCATTCTCATTGACCTGTCCTTCTTGTTGACCTGTCCTTTTAGACCCGTCACTTTTGTAATTATCATACCTTTCTCTTTCAAGACCTGTCTTTCTCTGGATTGCCAAGCCTTTCTTTTTCAAGACCTGTCCTGTCCTTCTTTGAAATTGTCAAGCCATTCCCATGACCTTTCCATGGAGACCTGCCCATTTCTTGGATTCACCGTCTTCATACCAGACCTGGCACTTTTGGATTTGTAGACTACGCTGCATGACCTGTCCGTTTGGATTTGTGGGAGTCCAAACGTTGAGTCTGGCCTTTCAGTTTTGGAATTTCCCCCCAAAACCTTTCACCTTCCACATTCAAAATTCAAATTTCCCCCCTCACCATTACCCTTATCCACGTGTCAGCTCCTCAGCCTCCCACATGTCGCCTCGAACTCCAAACCGCCTCTCTCTCTCCTATAAATACTCCTCCAACCTATCTCATTTCTTCACTTCTCTCCTTCGCTCCTCAAGTTTTAACCGGTCTACTTTCTCTCTCTAGCCTTCTGCCAAGTAAGTCCTCCAGTCCTCCTAGTCTTTTAATTCTTCCATCTTTCCATTTTTGACCGGTAGGCTGAAGTCATGTCTTCCTCTGACTCACAAAATGTATCCGGTCAATCTTATGGGTCAGGCTCTCAGCCCTCTTCCTCTTCCCACTCTGAGTCTTCTTCTGCTCCGGTTACCCCTTTAATTCGCCGTCCCTCTCACCAATCTAGCTCCCAGGCCCAGGAAATAGTTGCCCAGGAGCCTGTTCCTTTGAACCAACTGCCCGGTCGGTTCAATCCCAAGATCCTCAGCTGGGACCAGTGGGAAGAACGACTGGGATCCTTGGGCTTTCTAGCCCTTGATGTCAGACCGGTGTTCAAAGAGTCCTCTAGGGTTACAACAAAAAAGGTCCTGGCCGAGGTGCGCTCCGTCCTTCCCTTGGGCTATAAAGTCCTTTCTAACACCACCTGGCCCAACATCATAGAACCCCACCAAAGAAACCGGTTGGGGTTTCACATTGCTTCGCTAGAGGGGGGCATCATCTTTCCCCTTCGTCCCCTCCTCGTAGAAATCTGTAAAAAGTTTCATATCTTGCCCGGCCAGCTTACTCCAAACGCTCACCGGTTCTTAAATTGTTTTGTAAATATCTGTGAAAATTTGAAAATCAACCCTTCCCTTGAGCTTTTCCTCCATATGTACGAAGTCTTGCCCGGGACTAGTAACTGCCCAGGCTTCGTCTATTTCCATTCTCGTAATAAGAGATCTTTTGTGACCGGTCTTCCTCCTAGTCACAAAAGATGGAAGAAAAGATTTGTTTTTGTTGAATTCCCCCCTGACCAATTTCCTTTCTCTAACCCTGAGTGGGCTGACCGGGTTATAAAACCTGAAAGGGTTCATCCGGAGCCCACCAAAGATCTTGAGGACGCCTGCGAGAAACTTCTCAAGGGTGATCCTGTGGCCGGGAAACCTTATGCCTATGGAGGCTGGGTATTCCGGCTATCTAACCCGGATGGGGGTGCGTCCGCGACCCATGACGCTGAGGATAACCGGGCTGATTCTCCGGATGGTCACGCTGAGGCCGGCTCTCCTCATCCAGGTTGGTTAATTTTCCTCAACCTTTTGATTCCACTTTCATTTTGATAAGGTGTAAAATCTAACCGGTTACTTTGTTCTCTTTGGCAGACATGAACTTCAACAGGATGACCACCATCATTGAGGATGACGACGATGATGTCCAAGTCCTCCACTCCAACCGGTCTCCTCTCTCTAACTCTCCTTCTCCTCCTTACTTCCCCGGAATGGATGGGGCCACAAGTGCCCGGTGTAGCCCTATCCATGAGCAGAGCCAGAAGCTGAAATCTCCTTCAGCCAGGCACCATTCTGAGGTTGACCGGGCTAATCCTCCCAAAGTCCCGGTCTAATCAGGTGCTAAAGAGGTCGGTGCATCTTCCTCTTCAAAAGCCAAGGACCAAAAGAGGAAGAGCTCTCATAAGAGTTCCAGGGGAGGCAAGAAGAGGAAGATTAGCTTATCAGACAGGGAGGGGGAAACCATCGAAGAAGCCTTCCTATCCCTGGCCAAAAAACTCAGCAAGGTATTTCATCTCCAGTTTTCTTCCCGGTTCACGTTTTTCCTTCACTTTTACTGATATGTATCCTCTCTTTTTATTTTTTATTTTTACAGGCCGGGGTCATTTCAGAGGAGATTGGCCAAACATTAAAGGAGAAGGACCAGGTCTCCCAACTCACCCTCCTCTTTGATTCTGCTAAGTTAGAGATCAATGACCGGGCAGAAAGGGAGAGGAGACTTGAGGAAGAGTTGAGGGAAGAGAGGGCCAGGCTAGACGAGGAAAGAGCCAAGCTGGCGGAGGAGAAGAGAAAGGTGGCTGAGTTAGAAGAAGCTTTGGGACAGGCTGAAGAATCTGCCCGGGCAAAGGAGGAAGCCTTTCCCACTGAAGCTGCTCACTGGGCTGCGAGCCATCACTTGGAAACTGCCCGGTCAATTCTTACCACACCGGAAGAAACCATGGACTTTTTCAAGACCATGTATCAAGAACCGGAAGGCAAGAGGATGATCACCGAGATTGGCTCGTACGGCTTCCAGTGCGGCCAGAAGGATGAGAGGGGTGGGTTAACCGGGTTTGACCTGGACACACTCGACCCGTAATATAAAACACACAACAAGAACACAAAGAATGACCTAGACCGGGTAAATCTCCTCAGTCCGAATTATATTTCTTACTCTATCTCAAGAGTGAACTTTAGTGAGAGAAAAATTGGATCCCCTCCTCTATCCAATATCATCATATTTATAGAGGAGGATTTGTGACCTTCCCCTGTTCATCCATGGACANTCACTGTGTGCCTCGTGATGGATGAGCGGCGGGGTGTCCCCTTGCGCTCTGACGTGGTTCACCATGCCTAAGAGACTGAACCAATGTTAGCCAAGTAAAGTGATATGACCGGTCACCTTCTCTCAAAAGTTACCCGGTCATTCTTTGTGCTCAGCCCGTCTCTGGTCTTCTAGAATGTCCTTTGTAACATTAGGCGACATTTTGGCTATCGCCCAAAATGTGACCGGTCACTTTTTTAGTGGAAGTGACCGGTCAACTTTTGACCCGTCCCAATCGAAGAGTTAACCTCATTTGGTGATTGATAAAAGTGACCGGTCATATTTTGACCTGTTCCTTTCGGTTGTCCGGGTCGGGTATAAGGATATACCCATCAAGAAGTCCTCCACTTACCGGCCTTGTGAGGAAGTCATCAAGGGCGGGAAGTATATTTATGTTGATCTATCACTTTTGAAATCATCAAGTCATTCTCATGACCTGTCCTTCTTTGAAATTACCAAGCCATTCCCATGACCTGTCCTTCTTTGAAATCATCAAGTCATTCCCATGACCTGTCCTTCTTTGAAATCATCGAGTCATTCCCATGACCTGTCCTTCTTTGAAATCATCAAGTCATTCCCATGACCTGTCCTTCTTCTAAATTATCAAGTCATTCTCATTGACCTGTCCTTCTTGTTGACCTGTCCTTTTAGACCCGTCACTTTTGTAATTATCATACCTTTCTCTTTCAAGACCTGTCTTTCTCTGGATTGCCAAGCCTTTC